AATGACTTCTCAGGAGACAGTTGCCAAGTTCTGACAAGTAGAGAAGACTGGTGTGTGAGGAAGGGTCAAGCTTGAGTGTATACTCTTAAAAGGTATGTTTTATGCCAGCCAAATGGAGATTACTTGTTAGATAGGCAAGTAAAAATATGCAATGTACCTTCTAGATGTCTGGATTTCACAGGCCTTCTCAACTTTGGCACAATTAATAATTAGGATGAATAATTCTTAGTGGTACATTGCTGTTCCCTACACCATGAGATGTGTAGTCATATGCCCAACATCCACGCATCAGATCCCAGCAGCAATGCTCCAACTCCCTGGGATTGTGACAACAACAAAAAGTCTTCCCAGACACTGCAGAGTGTCATCTGGTGGTAAAATCACTCCCTCCTGAAAACCACTGTCCTAGTGTTAACAAAGGTTATACACATGCTATAGAAGCTCACGGACCTGGATCTATATATTTACCTATAGATATGTTTACCAATTGAACACATACACTTACACTTTCATTCTTCACACATGCACTGATTTGTAATTTGCTTATTTCATCATAGAAGATCCAAACATGCTAGTGGATACTAATATCTTATTTTAAAATATGCCATAGTAGTCTGTAGCATGAATGTCTACAGTGTGTCTACATCTGTATTATTAAGTCATTGAGTTTGCTGATTTGTTACAGCAGTTGTTTTGTTTGGAATGGATGTCTTATCACATGCTTCTTCACTCTTATTTATGTAGTTTCTCTTAGACATTGAAAGCTGGAATTGTTGGTCACAGAGCACATACACTTTAAATGTATTACATTTGCTCCAGGTAGATTGCATCTTAAAACAGTTGCGACAATGTGCTCTCTGTACCTAGGTTTCTTTGCAATCTGATTTTGTAGCTCCTCCAGTTATTTCTCCCTTTTTCAAGTATGAACTGGCTTTGTGACATATTTTGATACACAGAAAGTAACATTGAGTACACTCAGAAGTACAAACAACCTTAGGTACCATCTTGTTCTCAAAGCATCATAGGCTTATCCCAAGGAACAGTACATATCAGATCAATGGAGTACCTAAGGCAGGATTAAGTTTACAGAAGACTGGGAGTTGGAGCACCAGAGGGATGAGGCAGGGGAAACAGGTTAGAATGTTGACATAGAACAAACAGATCTTGAAGCCTGTGCAGGAGATGCTATTTGGAAATATCTCCTGCTCATCAAAAAGACAAAAACCTTCAGGTCAGCTTCTCTCAGCTGATTAGCCCCCAAAGCCCTGGCCCTCGTCCTATGGCCATATGCTAGAGAAGGCTGTCAGATACTGAACACCTGCTAATGCACAGAGGCAAAGGGGGAAAAAGGTTGTTGACTCTTCCCCTGAAGAGTCTAGCCTGCTGAAAGGATATGGTTTATTTTTTCAGAGCATAAAACGTATCGCAAACACTTGACTTCAGCAAGCATTAAAGGGACGCGGTGAATTGGCAAGAGGGATACTGAAAGCAGTTAGTTTTGGCTTCAAGTCAAATAAGAGTGGGGCTTCAAAGTCTTGAGACGCCTTGGGAACAAACTGAGAGGTTTCATCCCTCTCCATCCCTCCCGGTGTGCCAGGATGTGTCCTTTGACATTTGAAATTCCCTGTTGTGTTATTCAAGGCTCCATCTGAACTAATGCTCAGCTGTGGTTTCATCAGTGGAGTGGCTGGCAAATTCCTTTTTGTTTTATTCATGCTGGCTTTGTCCTCCCCCCCTCTTCCCTCCCCCCTCATCCTCCCCCTTCTCTTCCCTCCCCGCTCCCCCTTTCCTTTTAGGATTGTTCTCAACAGAAAAGAAGAATTTCTCTAAGAAAAACAAAGAACCCAGTTAATGGTTTAGTCAATTTTGGAATGAATTGCAAAAACTTGGTTTTGGGTCTCATGGTTCAGTGACAAATTCTTTGCATAACAGAAAATTAACGTTATGATAGTCATTGAAAAATGTTTGAAATATGAAAGGTAAGGGATGAACAGTTAGATCAACAAAGGAAGGAAGGGAAGAAGTAAGAGAGGGACAAAGGATGGGCAGGGGGAATGAATGAGGGAAGAAAAAAAGAGGGAAGGAGAGGTGAGGATAATCACAGTGTCCAATAACACAAATCAATAAACTGTGATACAGTCCTTCCATTGAGTACATTGCATATTAACCAAAAAAAGCAAATCTGAGAATTTCTAGTGCAATTGTGTGTTTCAATACCTCACAGCACATAGGTATATGAAACTTTCAAGTTTAAGTATGCCAAGTGGTGGTGGCACACTCCTTTAATCCCAGCACTCAGGAGGCAGAGCCAGGTGGATCTCTGTGAGTTGGAGGCCAGCCTGGGCTACAGAGTGAGTTCCAGGAAAGGCGCAAAGCTACACAGAGAAACCCTTTCTCTAAAAAAAAAAAAAAAAAAAGTTTAAGTAGGCACATATGTGAAAAAAATTGTTCTCATGATAAATTCATCTATGGATAAATACACGAACAGGCCCAGTAGGCTTCTTAGGAAATGCACACCTCTGCTTCCAGTTGTGGTTCTCAACTTGGGTCAATTTTGCTGCCAGGAGATATTTGTCAATATCTGGAGACATTGGTGAAGGCACTGAAGGTGTACCACATAATGTTGTATTTAACATGAAAGGCAGGGATGCTGCTAAATGCCCTGCCACACAGTAAGGAAACACCCCTGCATAGAAATATCAGGCCACAATTGTCAAGAGTGCGAGGTTGGGACATGCTGCTCTCAGTTAACAAATATGGGAGAATAGGAAATGGATATAATAAAGAAGTTTATAATGACTTAGATCTGTTGAGAAGGCCATGATTTCACATTCCTTTCATAATTCCAAAGCAGTTAAAATTAACTTTCAGTAGATGTCCACTGACAGCTTAGAATCTGATGTTTCTTGGTTTCTACTCATCTCCCACACATCCTACATTTTCTACATAGTGAAATAACTACAGGCATCATGTTTCCTTGGTAGCTCTTAATTATAAAGCTCATCCCCTCCTTCTGTGTCTAAAAAATTCTACCCACTCTCCAGATCTCGTGCTGTATCCCTGTTCTTGTCAGGTGAAGCCATTCTGTTCCTCTGCCATCTCTGCAGGGTCTCCATACCTGCCATTACAAATGCCCCCCCTGCAATTTGACATTAGAAGGTTGCCTTTCTAAAGTAAGCAGTGACCCATACAGTCACATGCTTCCAGCAGACCCCACTGGAACCAAATGCCACACAGCTTTGGATATGAGCCCTTTCCTATAGAGAACCAAGGATCCTCTCAGTATTAAGCATGTAGACCCCATATTGTCAGATCTCAAAAGATACGTTGGCAATTCAGAGTTTACTATAATATTTCTCAGTTATTTTTAATTCATTTTTATTTAACTTTTCTGAGAATGCCATAGATGATTACTAAATTTACATCATTTCCACTCCTTATTCTTTCCCTTCCAACTCCTCCCATTCTTTCCCCCACTCTCAAATTCAAAACTTCATTATCTTTATTAGTGTTATACATATATACACAAATATACATATAGACACATAACATATAACTTACTGAGTCCATTTAGTGTTGCTTAAATGTACATTTGTTTAGGGTTTGTACTACACACAGGATTTATTAGAATGACTTACAGGCTGTGGTCTGACTATTCCAGCAATGACTGTATCCTGACAGAAAGTTCAAGAATTTATAGCTGTTTAGTCTACAAGACTGGATGCTTTATCTGGTCTTCAGTATATGTTGTAAACCCAAAGAAGTAGGTTCTAATACCAGTGAAGGAATGAAACTGCCAGGGAGAGTGAGGGCAAACAGGCAAAGAGCAAAAGCATCCTTCTTCTGTGTCCTTTATAGAGACTGCTGCCAGAAGATGTGGCCCAGATCTCTAATGTGGGTCTTCCCAGCTCAAATGATCTAGATTTAGGATGAGTCATCCCACCTCAAACTATCCAATCAAGAAAAATGCCCCACAGGTGTACCCAGAAGCTTGGGGTTTAGTTAATTCCAGGTGTAGTCAAGTTGACAATTAAGAATAGACATCACAGATTGGAATCAGATAATCTATTAGGGAGCTATTCCTTGGAGAAAACTGATCCTCCCTCTCTCAAATCCATTAATTGCCTATACTTCTTTTTTCTTTTTCTTTTTCTTTCTTTTTTTTTCTTTTTTTTTTTTTCTTTTTTTTTTTTTTTTTGGTTTTTTGAGACAGGGTTTCTCTATGTAGCTTTGCGCCTTTCCTGGAACTCACTTGGTAGCCCAGGCTGGCCTCGAACTCACAGAGATCTGCCTGGCTCTGCCTCCCGAGTGCTGGGATTAAAGGTGAGCGCCACCACTGCCCGGCTGCCTATACTTCTTCATCAAGGGGTGGAGACTTGCAAAATTTCCTCCTTCTGCATTGGCATATCCACTGGTGTTATGTTTGGAGGTCTTGTTTAGGCAACAATATTGCTGAAATTTCGTGAGTACAGCATCCCTGTCATATCTAGAAGACACTATCTTGGACTCTTACAATCTTGCTAACCCAATTTTCTAAAAGATGCCCATATCCTCAGATGAAGGAGTTGTACCTCAATGTACTAATTATGACTGGGTTCCCCATGGTCTTATGCTCTGCATTTTAGTGGATATCTGCAATGATCTCCAACTGCAGCAAAAATAAACAAAAAAGCACTTCTTTGATTTCTGATGAGAACTACAGTTATCTGTAGGTATAATGATGAGTATTAGAATTCAGAAACAAACTCTATTGACTGAGGAAAATGACAGCAGTAGGTTCTTCTCTAGGGCCTAAGATCTCTTCAGTCACTGTTAGATTGTCTAAATTTATTGTGCTAGGCATGAATTCCTTCCTATCAAGTGAATTCTCATCTATAAGCCTAATTAACAGATGTTGATTACCTTCAATGTGAAACTGAGTACTAGGGATGCCATACAAGGCTAGTCATTGTGATGGTTCATAGACTCTTCAGCTGGGTGTGACTATCAGTTACTTTTTTTTTTTTTTTTTGCCTTTGTGGCTTGCATAGCACCTTTGAATACAGTGAGAGCAAGTCCTCAAGAAGGAGTCTTCTAGGTTATATCGAGCTTGTTTTCTCCAAGTCTTGTGTCCAAAGTGTGTTATGTCTTCAGTAATAAGACCATGCCTTCAAGTTCTGGGAGGCATCCAACAGCAATGGAACTAGCCTATAAAATAGCCTATACCATTTGTGGGGCAGGGGGAGGGACTTGGACCTGCCTCAACTGAATGTACCAGGCTCTTCTGACTCCCTATGGGAGGCCTTACCTTGTCGGAGGAGAGAATGGGGGGTTGTGAGGGGGAGGGTGGGAGGCAGGAGGAGGGAAGAGAGGGGGATCTGTGGTTAGTATGTAAAATGAATAAAAAATTTCTTAATTACAAAAAACTGATTGGAAAATAGAAAGGAGGTATCCCACGCCTGTGACTGGAGTTTTTTGGTCAGAAAGTCTATGGATCTTGAGGGAAGTATAATCACCCCACATGAGGTGTGTGTGTGTGTGTGTGTGTGTGTGTGTGTGTGTGTGTGTGTGTGTGTGTATTAATCTTGTAAAACTGTTTCCCTATGACTTTTTCAAGCATCTGAGGGCTGTTTTATCCCTCCTTTCCTCTACTCCCTCCATATAACCCTCCCTTTCTTCTTCTGAGTTCAAGTCTCTCCTTTTGTTTGTCCCTCATGTCCTACTTCCCCTCTCTCTAGAGCTCTTACTCAGCACTCTCCCATGATCCCTTTCTATTTTACTGGCTTCTGTGGTTACTTCAAGTTACATACTCAAACCTAAAGATACAGAAGCATGTTCCACAAGTAAAGAAGAACGTGTGACATTTGTCTTTCTAGGTCTGGATTCTCTCACATGGTATAACATTTTCTAGTTCCATTCATTTACTGGCAGATTTCATTATTTTATATTTGCTTCAGCTGAATAGTAACCCACAATGTATTTGAGTCACATTTTCATCCATTCATTATTTTAAGGAAAATTAGGCCTCTTCCACTTGCTAGTTTTTGTGACTAGAGCAGCAATGAAAAACTAAGCAAGCTTCACTATAGTTAGATAGTAAATTCTTTGGGTGTACCAAGAATGGTATGGATGGGTCATATGGCAGATTTTCTTTTAGCTCTTTGAGAAGTTTCTCCATAGTTGAAGTTTAATGCCTAAATATAAACTCCATAATCAGTGAGATGATTCTGCACCCGTGGGTAAGCACTGTCTTAAGGATGGCTGGTTTTTAGATTCTCAATGATTAGAGCTACCATATATGAAAGTTAATGAACTAGTAGACAAAGAAATGAAAATGAGAATCTACTGTGGGAGATGTGGGAGACAGGGAATCATGGCACAGTCTTTGGCATAGTGTTGCCACCTCCAAAAGAAATATGTACAAATGGAAACCAGGCCTTATTATCCAGAAACATATCAGCTGTCTCCTTTGAGGGATGAATAACTAAGCAGGCTAAAAACAAGAATCAATAAATTTTTCCCTAAAACATCTCTCATGATAGATAATCCTATTATGGGTACTGTGGATGATGAGAATATGAGAAAGAGAAAATGTTTTCTCATGCAATGATATCAAACTAAATATTCTTGTGACCAATACTCAGTGACTGTTTGGTTTTGTGGGGTTTTGTTTTGTTTTGTTTTGTTTTGCCATCTCTCAAGTTTGTAAAATGACTAAAGGACAGACAGTTCAGGGGACAATAATTTCAGGATCTTATGTGGGGCTCCGTTGGGTACCAGAAGTCTCACAAATCACACATTTTGAAACAGAATAATGATGGCCAGTGTCTAGCCCACCCTTTCATCTCATGGCCTTCAGAACCCAGCTAAAAGAAGGAGTCAACTGACAGCAGGAAAGCTGCCTCAGCCTCAATTTCTGATCAGCCCCATGCATGCCAACTGCTGCTGGAGCAAACTCCACTGCCACATGTCTCCAGCGCGATCTATGGTGGGTTCAGAAATTTGGATGCTGGCCTCACACATCTCTCGATATGCCTATCATAGGAAATGAGGGGAGACTGACTCAAGGTGGAGCCCAATGCAGCATCCAGGAAGGAAGTGGCACATGGTCAGATTCTCCTCACAAAGGACAGCCCCTCTCCATGTAACACACTGAGACATGTGCTTGTTGTCATGGAGATGTCATAATGCAGGGCAAGTAAATTCAGGCTGAATAGATTCCATCCAAAATGCCCTTGGAGGCCCGCGGCTTTCATTCCCTTTCATCAGCAAGCCGGAGTCCAGCTGGAGCCAGAATTAGTGATGGGTAAAGAGCTGAAAAGGCTGTTGGTCCCTTTCCAGGGTACCTCCAACTTATGTAAAGCTTCTTGGACTTGGAAGACTTTACTGGCAAACTGTCCCGTGAGAGTCTGGGTGCTTCTCGTTTTCTCATTCTGGTCCATAAACGAGCATCTCTCTTTGCATTTAGGAAAGAAGTGTGGAAGCTAACCACTCCAGCTTTTCAGACTTTCGGGGTTTGCAAAGAGGGAGGAAAAAAGGATGCTTTGGGCAAAGACCAGAACACAGTTTTGCTCCCAGCCTCTTTCCTCTTATTCTTAAGTATACGCAGATTGAACTAGATTCTACAGAACAAGGCTGGAACAAGAAAAAAACAATGTTCAAGTTATTAAACATGGTTTTTTCTGTTTTGAAGAGAAACAACAGCTATGAGCAAAACAAATCCAGAATACCTAGTTCTGAAGACTTTTTTTTACAATAATTGGAGTAAATTAAAGCATTTTTTTAATTTATTCTAAGTGCCTTCATACAGATGTGTCTAATCAAGTTACACGAAGACTGCACCAACTTGCCGCAGCCCCACTGATGGAGCTGAACTGTGTCTCAAAGACAAAGCAAATGAATACAGAAGTGGCAGAGAAGGCAAAAGAGGAAATGCCTCTAGCCACGTTGCTGAGCACAGGGACTAACATATTCCACTGGACTCAGGGAAAAGTCTAATGGCTTCTTATTTCCACTTCCTTAACTGTCATTACATTGCACACATACACACACACACACACACACACACACACACACACACACACACACACAACCCATCTCAACAGGAGCAAGAGAGATACACCAAGAAGAGGCAGTGACATCAGAAAACCACAACCATCTCCTTTCTCTGGAGAAACCCTGAGTTTAGGTGATGAACTGGAAAAACAGTCTTCACTTTTCTCACACAGAGGCTGAAGTGCAAAAACGGAAAAGGAAACCTTGTTTGCTCATGTGCAGTCCAGTGAGGGCTTCTGGGCCGTGGAGGTCCACGTATCTCATAGCTTTCCTTTCATCAAGCCAAGGGAAACACAAAATGGAGCAGGTGTGGAGATGTAAAAATTTCCAGAGACTTCCGATGTGAAGAACACTGGGGATTAAAGGAGGGGGTGGGAATGGGGAAAGCCTATCACCTCCATTTAGCAAACTAGAATCCCAAATCCAGAATGGAAAACCCTCCAAAAGTCACTCACCTTCTCACATATGTTGCAGCTGTCCAAGAATGGGGAGTCTCTGACACAAGTAAATCTCTCCTCTTTCCAGAACATAGAGACACATTATTTAGTCCTGTTAGACAGTAAAATATTTACATTTTCCACTAAGTAATCAAATATATTTAAAGTTATCTGAATATATTTTGTCAGTGAGTGTTCTTCCAACTGTTAATTTTCACAAACTTATTTGTTAAAAACTCCTTTAATCCCAGCACTCGGGAGGCAGAGCCAGGTGGATCTCTGTGAGTTCAAGGCCAGCCTGGTCTACAGAGAGAGATCCAGGACAGGCACCAAAACTACATGGAGAAACCCTGTCTCGAAGAAGAAAAAAAAACCCTCCTGACACCAGGCTCTGGCTATTTTTTTTTTTTTTTTTTTTTTTTTTTTGGTTTTTTTGAGACAGGGTTTCTCTGTGTAGCTTTGCGCCTTTCCTGGAACTCGCTTTGGAGACCAGGCTGGCCTCGAACTCACAGAGATCCGCCTGGCTCTGCCTCCCGAGTGCTGGGATTAAAGGCGTGCGCCACCACCGCCCGGCAGGCTCTGGCTATTTTAAGACATTCAACAGTTTGCCACAGCCCCAGTGTCTTCACACTTTTCAATGCATTTGAAACACTAGGTTATTTATTATTATTAGCCACAAACACTGATTACCTTAACAACAGCACTCTGCTAGGTCATTCTTTTCTCCTCTTTCCCTCCCTTCTTTCCTTCTTTCTTCCTTCCTGCCATCCTTCCTCCTCCTTCCTTTCCTACATTCTTCCCTTGCATCCTTCACCTTCTCTTTATCTCCTTCTTTTAACCTGGAATACATTCTGAACAAGGTATGTTCTTGAACTCCATGTTGAAGGCAGTCAGGAATAATTACAAAATATAACAGCATTTTGCCTGTTTTCTTTTTATCATTTTCATCCTTTACTCACATGACCTCTCTCTATATCCTAATCTCCTATAGATTTTTATGGGTTTATGTGTCCTTGTAGATTATTTTTGTTATTAAACATAAAACATGCAGAATATGATGATATACACCTTTAATATCAGCACTCAGGATAGAGGCAGACTAATCTCCTGAGTTTGAAGGCAGCCTGGTCTACATAGTAAGACTGTATCTCAAAACTGGAGAGATGAGTTAGCAGTTAAGAGCACTCCTTGCTCTAGCAGAGAACCTGGGTTCAATCCCCAGCACCCACATGGAGGCTCACAATTTGCAATCTCAGTTCCAGGAGATCTGATGCCCCCTTCTGGTCTCCATGGGCATCAAACATGAACACAATACACAGACATACATGCAGACAAATCAAATATTTCTTATAATAAAGCAATTGAAAAACCATTAAATCTGATTAACACATATCTTTGGTTACAAGATGGTCCTTTGCTTACTGAGCTTGAATTCTTTTGGTTGTAAAGACCCATTCTTCCTGGCAGCCATACTCAGCAGTGTGGCAGAGGACTGGGTTCTTTAGAGTGAAGACTCAGCACAATTATTGACCACTTAGGTGAACTACAAACTTCTGATGGCCAAGTCAGTGTCTTAGTTATCTTACCAGAGTTCTAGCATAATATTTGACACAGAACACGTTCTCCATAAATTTTGAGGAAATGAATGAATGAACTGTTTCTCAAATTATTAACATACACCTCACCCTTCAATGAACAGTAGAGTGGTGTTTTCAAATCTAAATACACCACCCAAGTCACTTGCTACACCAGAAAGAGCATTGTTTCTGGTGACAGTCCCCACTAGAGTGTTACTTGGGCAGACCAAGATGGCAGCGTCTTCAAGGCTTATCATTCCAGTCGACCCTACGACAGCAGTGATTAGTGCAAAACCAGTCCAACACTTAGTGGTGTAGTAAATAGCTTGAGAAGGCCAGTGCCAAGACTGTGGCCTGAGAGTTCCTGGTCTCACAGACAGTTTCCCTAGGAGAGCAAAGCCTTCCCCTGGTTCACTGCCAATTACAACCCTGCCTTCTAGCCCACAAAGCTCCCAAGAATTCAGTCATCTCCCCCATACCAGAGCTAGAACCATCTATAGGAATGCTACAGTTGTGGCATTTTCTTGGTTTTACTATGTAGTAAACCATCATTAAGTGGAGAGAAAATGAACACATATAGGGTATGAGACAGAAAGAGAAGCAAAGAGACACTTGTGAGGATAAAGTTCCCACTGCTGAAGCCATTGGAACCTAAGCATCTGAGGAACCAGTCTGTGTAACATTGCTGGGATGCAAGCACAGAGGCAAAGATGGATAAGCTGAAGGCTGTTCTCTGGACAGCATAAACTATATTGAGTGCATAGCAGTACTTTCCACTATGACCTCAGCACATGCACTGAATATTCAATACGCCCTACCACAGGAGTCATAGCTGAAGGAAAGAAAGTTAACAGGGTCTACCACACTCACCCAGGCATCTTTTCAGCTTCTTCCTTATCCTAAATATCTCTGCTGATCATTGGCCTGGCACTTCATAGATCCCCAATATATTCCAGTTTTCTATTTTTTTCATAAATATCTAACCCATATTTACCTTGCAGCACTTTCAGAATCATTACCAAGAGACCCTCCACCTTAAAATAAACAATCTAGAGTAGGCTGGCAAGCATAAGAATGTTCACTTTAAAATGGAGAGATTCACTTTTCTAAGTCTCCCCAAGAGTGTCAGGATAACTATTCACTCTAAGGTGTCTTCTCATCCAGTCCAAGCTCTGTCCTCTGCCTTCCTCTCTGGTCTCCCCTCCCTCCCTTGTGTTCAACATGCACACGCTATGCAGAAACAGAACGGGGTATAGTTGATTGAAACTATCACATCATTTCCTACCCCATGTGATCTAGTGTTTCTGAAAATCCAGAAAAACCTTGTCAGATTGACAGTAAGCTCAGATCAGCTTGATCTCACTTTTTTTTTTTTTTTGGTTTTTTTCGAGACAGGGTTTCTCTGTGTAGCTTTGCGCCTTTCCTGGATCTCGCTCTGTAGACCAGGCTGGCCTCAAACTCACAGAGATCCGCCTGCCTCTGCCTCCCGAGTGCTGGGATTAAAGGCGTGCGCCACCACCGCCCGGCTTGATCTCACTTTTAAATTTAGGGCAAAGGACTGAATGACTCGATGCAATTCCAAGGACACCAAGAGATTGAATCCTAAACCTCGTCACAGGAATTAACCTCTCTTGGCTTCCAAACTGCTTTCATCTTCTTGTTTCTCTCCACACATCATCTCACAGAATAAAATAAGAGTGTGTGGAATGAGTGTAGGTGAGTTTCAAGAAATGTCAAGAGCCAAGATCCTTCCAGTCAAGTTAAGGATCTTACAAGAACATCAAGACGCCTTTGTGAGTAGGCACGTGAAATGACTATATAGGAAGCATCCACTTCTCTTTGCATTCTGGAAATGAATGGAAGAGTCAGGACTGGAGGAAAAGCTAGCAGGTAGGAGGCTGTTAACACAATCCAGGGCACAAGAACAAAGCTGTGAATCTAGGCAATAGCAGCAAAAGTGGAGAAACAGACAGAACCAGGAAATGCTTTAGAAACAAAAATTGGATGTCGTATTAAATGAAAAAGATATTTGTGTGAAGGATACTGTTCATACTTATGACTTGATTGAATGGAAATGCCAGCTTATGCAGAAATACAGCTTGGTGGGAGATCAGGAATGAGGGGAGAAATAGAGCATGAAGAGCAGGGTAAATAGTTCCAAGTGGATCACTGATTGTTCATGACATCCAGGTGACTTCACCATGGTTTGTATATAGATTTTTCTTCCCAGATTTGTCCCAGATCTCAATAGGGTACCTGGTAGCTGATCAGAGAGAAAATGGATGTGGGAAACGTGATGGAAAGAGACTCTTCAGCTAAGAAATACCACCTGTTCAGTCTTGCGTTGATCTGGTTGGAGAGAAAACAGACTTGAAGCTATTGCTATCTGGGCTCCATGGCCAGCCTTGTTTTCTGCCCATATGATCTTGGTGAGTTTGGCTCCTCTCTCTGAACCTCAGTCTGTTCACATACAAAGGAGATTATTCTCCACCTCTCACATCTGCTGATATGCATGTTAAAATCTGTTATAAACTACAAAGGACTAGACACCTGTAAATCAGAGTTATAATCATGTTAATATATACACAGGCATGACATGAAAGAAATTTTTTTAATGAAAATAAGCCATAGGAGAGAAATTGGCAACATTGTTTCTGCAATCCCCCAGCCTTTGAAACAATCCCAAGAACAACCTGAGCCTTCTGGTGTCAATGAAAGAATTTTCTTACTCTGTTTTTTTAAACTTCCCCATCACTACACTTATTTCCTTACAGCTTGTCTCCTGCAGCTGATGCTAAAACGTATTTATCCCCCTTTATGTCTTGGTTTATCCTTGGACTGAATTCATTCCATTTGGCTGAAGAAATAGGCCAGACGGTGTCCGTCAGGGCTGTCCTCCCGTCAGCCACAGGGGAGCTTGGAGATGATTTGAAGTAATTTGCCAACAAAAGGCTGAGGACTGTAGCCACCTGTGAGCCAAACATTGTGAGTTTGGGGGCTGTGCTTTTGTAACAGCAGAGCTTGGGAATGCCTAGGAAGGGGGTGAGGTCATCTGTCTGGTTATGAGCAGAGTGTTCTGCAGGTCTTCTCATTCCACATTACATCATGCTGGAAAAAGAAAGTGTCTGGACATTCCTTACACAGTCTGCAGGGGTGTGAAGTGAGGCAGACATTGGCTTGCTGGAGAGTCATGGTGCATTGATCGGTTCACACATGAATATACACAATTAACCTCACCAGCAACTACAGAATGTCTGCTCCACGCTTGTAGTTAGTTGTGGGGAGGAGGGGGTGTGTTTGTGTGTGTGTGTGTCTGTGTGTCTCTGTGTGTGTGTATGTGTGTGTGTGTGGTGTATATACATATGTATGTGCACAGATGCATGAGTGTGTTCAGATTCGTGTGTGTGTGCTCAGTTAGAGGCTAGAAGAAGGATATTGGATGTCCTGCTCTATGGCTCTATACTTCCTTCCCTTGCTATAAGCCCAACTATCTTCCTTCCTCTGCTCCTAGGATTACAGATTTTTGCAAGACCATAGCAGGCTTTTATACATGGGTGGTAAGACCTGAACCTGGGTTCTCAGGCTTGCATAGGGAGTGCTCTTAACCACTGAGCCACCTC